AACAAAATATGTTTTTAGTTTGTGCATTGGAAGGACATAAATAAAAGTCGCGCCATTAATCGACATTATTTTCACATGGCAGAATTTCGCGTTCACGGCTGCTGCTCGATTAATCTATTTTCCGCGAGCTCGGTTAAATAATAAAAAAAGTTATTTCCTCGCAAATGTAGTCATGCCGTAAGTTTACCTCGCTCGTAAATGGAGACGCTAATAATTATCGGAACTACATCTCCCCCCCTTGCCCCTTCATCCAATGTTTTCACAACGACATTTCCTGCGTATGTCACACCTGTATTCATTTATATGTCGCACAATATGAAATACGCCGCTCTCGCTGCTTAATATTGGCTGTACATTAATTTCTAGACGAGACATACGCCTTTGCACGCTCATCCTACAAGTCATGGCGCGCTATGCACGCCTACACGCGTGCGCATGCACGCGCGTATAGCGAAATCTGCACACTCGCGCTAGATCAGCGATTCTCAACTAGTCTCGTCCCGCACAACCCTAACTATCATTCCGCGTAAGCGCCGCGATGCTAATAAGAAGTCGTCGTATAGCGACAAGGCAAACGCCGAAGGAAACACCGAGTTACGTAACGTCGAGCGGCGGACAAGTTGAAATTCGCCGCCGCGCGAATTGTAATTACTTCGTATCGAATAATTGACGGAATCGATACCCCGCACCGAATATCCCCGACGGCGATACCCGTCCGGGACTGGCAGTAGCTCAGTGGTTTCGGGGGGCTTGCGTCGTTCTTCGATTTGTTGTTGTAAACACATCGCGAGATAGCGATAATCCCGCCAATCCTGCGCGACGATATGTATGCGCGCGCGCGCAGCGCGGCTGCATTCTCGCGAGCGCAAACGCGGGGCGCTCTCATGGCCACGCGTTGCGTAATCAGCGCGACGGAGTGGTCACGCCGCGCGAGGTATAAAACGAACAACGACGACGACGACAAACAAGCGGGTGTATACGCTCTCACTCTGGCTTCGCGCGGCGCGTGAATACCGCTGCGTGTTTCGGAGCCCGGACTCTGCGACTCGGCCGACCTCGGTCACCCTCGGCCGTCCCCGTCGCGAAATAGCTATATTTCTCTCCATCTTTTTCTTTCATTCTTTCTTTCTCCCCTTTCATTCCGCGCCTGCGTTCTTTCTTCTTCCGCGTACTTTGCAAGGATACCGTCGCGCGTTTCCGCAAAAACGACCGGCGGCTGACTTCAGACCGTTCGTGGCGAGAAATCACGTTCCGCGCGTCGGTACCCACGCCCCTCGTTTTCTCCTGTCTCTTTTCTTTTTAATTCTCCTTTTCTCCGTTCTACGTAATAAATTGTTTTAAAATGAAATGTCAAGTATCGATTCTTTTTATTTTATGTTTCAATGCGCACGTTTACAAATCGTATTTCTTACGAAATAAAATTAAGGGGCTTATAACGAAATTCTGCCACACGTTTGTACGTAGCCATGGCTGTCTCACTTCCCATTCTCGAAATGCACCAACGACTTAATAAACGTGTCCTCTATTCTTCTCTCTCTCTCTCTCTCTCTCTCTCGCGCACCTCTCTGTCTCTATTTAGTCCTTTCCTTTTTCATCTTGGCTACTCCTGTTGCTCGCAGGAAGGCGAGAGATACGGATCGATTAGAGGAACATTCCGCTGAGTCAGCTGCTCAAGGATGTACGTGTTCGGTCGGCGAAATCACTCGTGCCGGGATTCCGTCACGGTGCAACACGCGCTTCTTATTTCTCTTTTCACCCTCCCCCTCCCCCTCCCGCCATATCTCGTTCCCCCGTCGTCGCCGCCGCCCTCCTAGCCGTCTCGACGCGCACGCGCAAGTGCGGGAAGGAAGACCGGCGCGAATATTACCGCGATTGCGACATCCACGGTG